GGAGCTGTGAGGATGCCCAGTGACGTTTTGGGCGCTGTGAGGATGCTCAGCGCTGTTTTAAGAGCTGTGAGGGTGTTCGGCAGCGTTTTGGGAGCCGTGAGGGTGCTCGGCAGCGTTTTGGTCCCTGAGGGTGCTCAGCACTGTTTTGGGCGCTGTGAGGGTGCTCGGCAGCATTTTGAGTGCTGAGGGTGCTCGGCACTGTTTCAGGAGCTGTGAGGGTGTTCGGCAGTGTCTCGAGAGCTCTGAGGGTGCCTGGCGCCGTTTTGGGTGCTGTGAGATTGTTCAGCAGCGTTTTGGGCGCTGTGAGGGTTCTCGGCAGCGTTTTGAGAGGTGTGAGGGTGCTCGGCAGCATTTTGGGCACTGTGAGGGTGTTCAGCAGCATTTTGAGGGGGTTCTCGGCAGCATTTTGGGAGTGTTTTGGGCGCTGTGAGGATGCTCAGCACTCTTTTGAGACCTGTGAGGGTGCTCAGCAGCGTTTCGGGAGCTGTGAGGATGCCCAGTGACGTTTTGGGTGCTGTGAGGGTGCTCAGCAGGGTTTTGGGAGCTGTGAGGGTGCTCGGTGGCGTTTTGGGAGCGTTTTGGGCGCTGTGAGGGTGCTCGGCAGCGTTTTGGTCCCTGAGGGTGCTCAGCACTGTTTTGGGCGCTGTGAGGGTTCTCGGCAGCATTTTGAGAGGTGTGAGGGTGCTTGGCAGCATTTCGGGCACTGTGAGGGTGTTCAGCAGCATTTTGAGGGGGTTCTCGGCAGCATTTTGGGAGTGTTTTGGGAGCTGTGAGGATGCTCAGCACTCTTTTGAGACTTGTGAGGGTGCTCAGCAGCGTTTGGGGAGCTGTGAAGGTGCTCGGCAGCATTTTGGGTGCTGTGAGGGTGCTCCGCGGCATTTAGGGAGCGTTTTGGGCGCTGTGAGGGTGCTCAGCAGCATTTTGGGTGCTGAGGGTGCTCGGCACTGTTTCAGGAGCTGTGAGGGTGTTCGGCAGTATCTCGAGAGCTCTGAGGATGCCTGGAGCCGTTTTGGGTGCTGTGAGGTTGTTCAGCAGCGTTTTGGGCGCTGTGAGCGTTCTCGGCAGTGTTTTGAGAGGTGTGAGGGTGCTCGGCAGCATTTTGGGCACTGTGAGGATGCTCAGCAGTGTTTTGGGAGCGTTTTGGGAGCTGTGAGGATGCTC